TCACTGGCTACTCCCCATTTTACCTACTGTTTGGACGGTCACCCAGGCTACCAGTAGATATGCTCTTTGGACTGTACTCAGAAACAGATTTTAGTGATCACAGAGACTATGTTGAAAAATGGAGAAAGGGCATGGAACAAGCATACTCTATTGCAAATGAGAATGCAAAGAAAGCTGCTGAAAAGAGCAAAAGACACTACGACACAAAAGTAAGTAGTTATGTGTTTCAACCTGGCGAGAGAGTTCTGGTCAAAAACCTGACACCTAGAGGCCCAGAGAAACTGAGAGACTATTGGGAGGACACTGTTCACACAGTAGTCAGACAAATTGGGCCTGACCTCCCTATCTACGAGGTAAGACCAGAGAGAGGCAGAGGGCGCTCTAGAGTGCTTCACAGAAACTTGCTTATGTCATGTGACCACTTACCTTTTGAAAAAGTGCCTGAAAAAGATAATCGTACAAGACATGAACAGAAAAAGACTGATAAACCCGTCGCTGTTGTGCCAGACTCTGATGATGAGGGCAGTGTTGATGAATACCGCTGTCATTACGCACCACCTCAACCTGTGTCCCAGCCATCAGAACAAGAACTTCTCACAGCAACGTCTCAGCCCGCAGCTTCAGCCCCTGCTCTTGCACCAACACCAGAGCCTCTTGCTGGAGACCCAGCTGTCGTGGAGACAACTTGTGAGGAGGCAGAGCCCACTGCAGGTGACATACCTGCCCCTCCTCCACCTGTTGTACTCGAGAGACTTGAGGAGGAGACACCTCAGCGGCCACAGCGAAAGAGACACCCGCCAAGACGGATGACGTATGACCAACTGGGCACCCCATCTTGCTACAGTGTTCAGCCAGCACCGCAACTGCTTCCTGTGTACCCGGGCCTAGTTCCATGGTTTCCAGCTGTGCAGTCATACTGCACCCAGCCCATTGGTTTGTATGGACTCCAGCAAATGTAAGCTGACACTTTTTCACTGATGACTTGAGAACTGTACTTACAGACTGTCATCAAGAAAAAGACATTAACTTTTCCCCATCTGTGGATTATAACCATAGACAATAGACTTTGTGAAGACTCACATATGGACTGGTTATAGACTTTGTCTTCAGTCACCAGTGATGGACTGTGGTGAAACAGGTGTTAAACCCACAGAATTGAGGACATTGGTTCACTCTACTGTTGATGTCCTGACTACAAGAGAATATAAACTGAAAAGCAATTTGTTGGTATAATGTCAGGATGACATTTTTTGAGTGGGGGAGAGTGTTACAGGTTGAAGGACTATTGTGACTACTGCATATAAAACTGTTCAGTTAATACTAATTCATATCAGTTGATATAAGGACGAAAATAATGTAAATATGGTAAGAAAATGGTTAAGAGTTTATTATTTTTCATGTTATATTAATGGTTTTCAAGTTACTTAAGAGAACTGCAATCTACACATCTCTAATCGGCTAGTAAGCCTTTTCTGGGATCAATTAGTAGTGTCTCTATTCTCCACTAGGGGGCTTTCGCGCGTTCTCCTCACTGCAATAAACGACTGCATGAAAGACGCAAGTCATAATCACTCTCATGATTCTTTTCCCCCTGTTTTCAGGTAAAAGTGTTTAAAAGTTGATATATTTCCAATGTGTACACTGTTAAGATATTTAAGAGGTAATCCTTTATTGTTTTGTAAGCGTTAGAAGCATTATATTACAGTTTTGTGCACATACGTGGCGGTTTTGAGCCTCAGTTTTGTACTGTGTAATAACCAGTAAGATAACGGCAGGAGCTAAAAACGCCGCTATTGTCAGCCATTTGGTCAGGAAACGTGTTCTGGCATATATAGTAAGCACTTTAGTATTTTGGTTTATTATTTAGTGTTTTTCTTCCACCATGTGACATTAAGCAGTACAGAATGTGAAACGTTTCTGTTCATTTGCACTGCAATAAACGACTGCATGAGAGACGCAAGTCATAATCACTCTCGTGATTCTTTTCCCCTGTTTTCAGGGTGTAACGCATACTCTTAGCAATATACTACTATCCCTGGTGCATTTCTCCTGAAATTGTCGCTATACTTTCTCATTGTGTACCACTAACCACTAAAGTTTCATTTTCCTTCACTCACAATAAAGTCCCTGCTTTCCCTCTATTATGGGCGTGTGTGTTTGCATTAGTTTTTTCAAAGCATACTTAGATGACTACATATAAGTTTAGCTAGCAACCCTGGCGGATCAACTGATATCACTGACAGCAGACATCAGCTGATGCCTGATTGGTAAATGACATGTTAGTTATTTTGGCTGCTTCATTTTCTGCCCCCCTCTGACAAACACTTTGTAACGTACTTTCACCTTGGATTCTCCATGTAATAGTATTACTATTAGTTCTCTGTAAGTGATGCCTGCTCTAAACTGTGTTGGGTCTTGTGGATGGTTTCACTGTCTTTTGGCTTTCTGTGAATGCTCACTGAAGGGCAGGAACGTCCCAGACTAAAGCCAAATCACCAAATACATACTACAGTTGATGGGATGCTGATTTAAATGTAATCCTCCTGACAGAACTGTACTATACACACTCACTGGAAACTACCAGCTGAAGTCAAGCTTAGGGGAGCTCTTCAGTTGAACATCCTGATTTTGATATTTGCATATTCTCTTACTGCAAGGAAAACAAGATTTAAGACGACCTTAATGTCATTATATCTGTAAAATACTGATGCATAATCAATCAGATGCAGCAGGTGTAAACACATTAAACCAAAGCATTTTTAATACACATCAAAAACACCCTTTCCTAATAAATATATGTTAATTTAAAATATACAGCAAAGTCTGTGGAAGAGTTTAAGAACAGATCCAGACCTTTTAATTCAAATGAACAGAAAGCAAAAACAGCCCCAGTGTCCTTAAGAAGTCCCAAGTTTGGAAGACCTTTGACACAGCTCGCCCAAGTGCCTGCTGTAACCAAAACGAGCAGTCAGGGATTTTAGTCCCTTTAGACTTTATGGTTGAAACAACAGCGAAGTAGGCAGGAGAGAGAGGAGGGAACAACAAGGAAATGGTGCAGGGTTGACTTAAACATGGACCCCTGCAGTAGCTTTTCAGCATGCCGGTCACTTGCTCATCCCAGTGACCCAGATTGAATGTTAAGGTGACAACCACTGATTTGTACTACTACTGTTACATATGTTAAAACAATGTGAAGGGCATATTTGCTACATTAATACATTAAAGTTAAAATAAGAAGTAATAATAATAATATCAGTTTATCTTGACTTGTTTAGCAGATATCTGTGCAATGATTTTCACTAAATCTGAGAGTATCTAAGTGCTGGGAATTCTTGCAGTGACATGACTAAAATATTTTTATAGTCTATTTTAAATCATATTGTTTTGTGTCGTTTGGTTTAATTGCCCCCTTAAGAAATAACAACACAACGATCCTCAGGAAAGACATATTGCAAAGGGGACAAAACTAAAACAAGTAATAGAGCTAGAAAATAAAGACGAATGTGAAGCAGATCACCTGCCGTGAATCACAATACCGTCTATATATTAGAGCTACATAAATAATGCAACGATCATTTATGAGATGAGATCAGCATGCCTGCAGGTCAAAGCTGCAGTTTCATGTGCATGGAAAACTTTGGTTAAATTATTATGCTGGAGCTGCACAACTTCCAGGCAGTGGAGTCCCACTGTGCTGTGTTATGAATACAGTATATGAGTGAACTTTAGCCCAGAGGAAAGAGAGGAAGCCTTTCTATACACCGTAACTCTGTGGGGTCACCAATGTGCTGGAAACATACTTCCTGACTTCCTCCCCCCTGTGTTTACGAGTCTCAGCCTCAGACCATCCTACATCGTCTCATGTATAGCCCCACCGATTGTTGAAGGAACTATTTTATCTTTTTATTATTATTAACAAATTCCAGCCTCCAGTACTCTCACAGTAGCCATAAAACTCCTCTATTGTTCAAAATGGTATTGAAGATGAAAGGGAACCTATCACATGCTTTCACATTTACTGTCATATGCATAAAGTTTGAAATGATGAGGCCATATGTAAAAGCCTAAAGCGCAGGCTTCTTTGCTTGCAGTTTCATGCATATTTCTCTACACTTGGTTCTGCATGATGTCACCGAGAATAGATACCTTTATTTTAGTCATCTGAGGTACACAGCCAATGATATTAAGCTGGCTTGAGAGGAATGAGGCTAAAGAGCGAGGTTTGGGATTGAGAGAGAACTAAGAGGTTGTACCAAGGCCCAATATGAAATAAATGAGGACATTTTAATCTAGCAACGCTACTTTATTACAGTGGGAATGAGCATAACACATATCCCCACAGTTGTGTGTCTCTGCAAACACGTCAAGTTGCAGTTTAAATTAATTTCTCCTTCTTATTCTGAGTTACTGTATTATGTAATGATCAGAAAATTATTTTAGCACGACATCATGTTGTCACTGAAATGCTAAAATTAAGTGCTTCAAAACAAATGGTTAGGATAGCAGTGTCATTGTCCTAAACAGCTGAGATAATTTCCCAACAATGGGAGTCTATGGTCCCTTCAAAGTGTCTGCAAATCTGTATGACCTGTAAGGGCCATACAGATGATATGATTTACTAGTATGTCTTTTTATTATTCATTACTTATTTAACCATATCTCTTGTAGACATAATACTTAAGACATAAGATGATAACCAAAATGTGAAAAACTGAATTTGAAATTACTTCCTAATTCAAAGAACAAATTGAGTAACAGCAATTCTGGAATTACTGTTGCTACTGTAACAGAACAAAAATATTGATAAGATATAACAAAATTTGGAAATGTATGCTTTTTAGATTTTTCCCTCCACCTTCGACCTTCAAATTCCTCAGATATAAGCTCCTGAAAATGTAAAACCAGTAACTAAACTTCTCAAAACCCACATACATGCACTGTACTGAGACATTTTGTCATGGTCTGCGGTGGGTGGCTGGAATTTCCATAGGGCTCCTGAACCTACCTGGGATCCGCCCCTGGGCAGGGCCAGCTCCTGCACACCTGGAGCCTATTGCAGGCAATCAAGCCAGAGGGATTTAAGCCACACATTGATGTTCATTCACTGCCAGTTCGTCATCAACACATGTTGGTAACAGGCCTAATACTTCAAGTTTGTGCTGTGATTTATCTTGTTAACCAGACTCTCTTGTGCTGCAGTTGCTGTTTTCACCTTGGCTCATGCTCCACCTCCAGACTCAGGATACCAAACAATCATTTTGAAAATCCCTCTGTGCCTCACCTGCCTGCCCTCCTGCCATCACACTCCATCTGAAGCCCCGGATCTCAGGTCAGCCTTTCTACGCCACTCAGCCCTCCCTGGATTCTCTTACCCCCCTCTCAACACTCCATGTCCCCTACTGCAAGTAAGAATTGCTACTCTTACAACTTGCCACTTCAGAGCTGCCTCCACTACCTCCCTAACTCCACTGTCTTCTCTCTTCAGTGTGACTGTTCCCTGCTCAGCTCCACTCTGCATCCCGTTCCCTCGCCCTAGCCACGTTTCCCAGGCCGCGCCTCGTCAAACACCACGTCTTATTGTTTTTTTGTCTTTGCTACATTTTTTGCACTACGCCTAATAAATTGTCGCATCATCTGCTGTCTCAGCTCTGGGTTTCTGCACCTGAGTCCTTTTCAGTACAGGCCACTCGGCCCTCGTGACACATTTGCATTAAAAGGCAAAATAGTTGAAGAAAAAAAAAACCAGGTGTGAATCTTGACTTGTCACCTAAAAATCTAGACACCTTTTTTCATGTTGTCTCTCTCACCAAACCTAAACCTCAGAGCTTCCTAAAGCACCTACTGTGTCAGGGTGTGCTTTCTGATTTCAAAGGTGCTTACGCACTTTAGACTGACGCTCCCTGTTGGATGAGCCAGGACATGCCCGCAGATGCTCACCATGTTCCTGGGATTTGACATCAGGAAGTGTTGAGCCACATGAGCTGGCAGCAGGTTGAACAGGATCCTCTTGTTATCCAGCTTCACTTTTTCCATGTCGTCTCTCTCCTCCTCCGCCTGCATGACATCAGCAATCACGCAACACACACACATGCACACACACACACACACACACGTATAGCAGATCCTTTAAAAAGTGGCACTGATCTTGACATTTTAAGTTTTAAGCACTATGATGGTGTACTCTAGCTTACAGCAAAGAGGAGATGTAATTGCCCGTCCTTATCACTAGAGGGAGATAATGATTTGCAGACAAGACAAACATGCAGCATCTTCCCAAAATAGAAACATCCAGGCTTTGATGATCCACTGAGACAACCCAAGACTGAGCATAGGCACTAAAGAAAACAAAAATCTGTATTACAATGATCAAATCCTGACTAAAACTGAACCCTAGAAGCAAGAACAGGATGTTGAATGTACCAGCAGCCACACACCTGAGTTGCCCAGAGATAGTCAAGTCGCAATTTAAGGTCCAGTTGTCTTGAATGCAGAGCCAGGGCTCCAGAAAAAAGCAACACTGCCAAAACAGGGTCATAGCCCCGTGTGTGCAGAAAGCCACCACTGGAAGATGGAGACATAAAAACATTTTTATAATGTTTATTATTTTTGTTATGTAGGGAAGAACTCATGACAATACAAAACAATGCCCTGAAATGTGTTGGAGTGGAAGAAGAAAGTGGGAAAATATGCATAGAAATACATGCTTCAAAAGCAAATACAATGTAAATCAGAACTTTACACTCAGTATTTTGATGAGGGAAATATGTCAGATTTTGCTGCAATTCCTCTCCTACTGTTTTAATATTTTGATAATATTTTGATAGGATTTTGAGCTTTTGTCTTGTACTTTCTTGTGTTCTTGTGGATAACAGCAACTTTTTTTGTACTTAGCACACTTAGCCAAACCTGACTATAACCATAAACCTTACATATATTACATATACAAGTCTTAACAACGCAGCTTACCCCACAGCTTGACGGTAACCACTGGTCTCCATGACAACTGTATATGTGATGGAGAGTAGAAAGAGGAGGAGGATCTTGGGGAGCGAGGAGACACGAATGTAAGGGATCACGGTGAGGGTCCCCGCCACACAGGAGAGTAAGGCGTAGGCCATGTTGGGACAAGCCCGGTCCGTTGCTGTGGTGTTAGCAGATCTAACCATGAGAGTGTCTGTGGGGATGTTCTCCACAGAGCGGTTGGAGTTAGTCCCAACTTTACCCCAGGGAACACAACCCACCTGAAAGACAATTACTTTGATAATTTATCTTAAAAAATCCTAAAACATTTAATATTAAATAATAAATTTCTCATTGATCTAATGGCATTAAGGTTAGAAACCCGAATAGACAATTTAACAATCTGTGTGCCTGATTTGTTCCTTTCCAAGAGATCCTCGACTAATTATTTTGCTACATCACATCTGGGTACAGAGCACCACGAACATTTGAATAAAGTGTAAGTACAGTGTGATAAACCATGCCTTTGGATTCTGTTTCCAAACCTTATCTTCCCGTATAATATAAACAGTAAGGGAGTAATCTCTCAGCTGTGGCAGTAAAGACCAACCTGCTCGTGCACTCAGGTCTTGCAGAAGGAGACAGACAGATTCTGCATGCACGCATTTATCTTTAGAGTACACCCATGTGCAATATGATGACTGGAGAGGCCATAAACTGTTTACTGATCAAGCTGAATGTTCAAATTCAATGGTCTACGACAAGCTGAAATAATGCAAGCCTGGCTATGTGACGTCAGTCTTCTTAAGACACTGGTCTGCATATTAGGTTGTTAAAGGGGTTAGATTTGGATCTGCCCATTTTTACCAGTATTTGTGTTTCTTTGCTATGCTAAACTAGTACATTCATAATGTAGTAGTTCCTATATTTGACTATCAGGAAAAAGATCCCCAGGAGAAGGTGCAAATTCCTTTGGGGTGACATCAGCTTAAAGTAACTTTTTCTTCTTCTGCTATGCTAAGCTACCTATATCCTGATTATAGTGTTGCCAACTTTTTAACTATTAAAACAAAAATCATATGGGCATTTCCTTTGAAAAATAAGAAAAGAAGAAAAAAATATCCAAATAAAATAGTGGTGTGCTGACACAAGCGCTTCTCTGATACAGTTGCAGTCAAATCAGATTTGGTATTTGTAATCATGACCAACAATGAAGTTTTGTCAGAGAAAATCAGGAGAATTATCTCTAATCATGACACCCCAGTGCACCTCATACCCAGCCACACCCTCAGACAAAAACTCCCAAATACAAGAAGAACAGCACAGTATATGCTGTGCAGCGCAGCACGGAGTGCTCTGACTTCTTCATTGAATAAACCAAACAGCCACTCCATAAACGCATGGCACAACACAGAAGAGCCACCTCGACAGGACAAGACTGAGCTGTACATCTGCGTCTAAAGGATAAAGATCAATCTTGCAAGGATGACAATGTTCACGTTTAGGACAGAGAAGACAGATGGTTTGAAAGAGGAGTGAAAGAGGCCACCTCCAGTGCAGTTTTGAGATCACTCCCAGGGGCCTCAACCCCTACTCACATCTTGTGTCAGGTGACCTATAGAGGTCACAAGGTAGGGTGAGGCGAGATCTCACTGTGGTTTGACCCGTAACCAACAACTCTATTAAGGGACAATCCCTACTTGAACTGAAGACGCTTCTCGAATGAGAGGTGACAAAATTTAAAGAAGTCCAATCGCATTCTTTCCGAGCTCCTTAGACCAGAACTGAAATGATGAAACTCTGACAACTCCTTTCACTCAACTTGACTGTGGTATATCAACCATGAATAGGTAATATGCCAAACTACATATAGTGAATAGTAACTGATTTTGAACACAGACCATGATATCATTTATATAAATCACATACACTTACCACACAGGCCTGGGTAACAGAGTAGGTGAGCAAAACGAGGAAGACACACAGCACTGTTCGGATCTGGATGGTGAGGCAGCCCGGTTGGCACTAAAGCCAGAGGAAAGGGAAAGGGAGGTTGGCAGGGAGGCGGAAAATAGAAGGAGTAAATGAAGCAACTGTTTATCTACTTTAAATGCATTTTGGACAAATCATTAACCAGGACTGGAAATAAAATGAGCGCATTTTGTGGTGTGGCTCATTATGTTCAGGTCTATTAGAGGAGACACTTAAAGGGTATGATGATAGTTCAATGTAGCATGATGCCAAAGTGTCATATAGAGATTATGCGCTCACTATGCAAAAATGATCATGGTGCTCCGATATGAAGGCGCTTTTTTTCACACACAAAAATATAATTAATCAAAGATTGCTAAAATGCTAAAATGCTTGTGAGTCCACTAAGTGTATGCTAAAGGAGGCTAAATAAAAATAAATAAATAAAACTATGAAGTTATAGTAGTGATAGTGAAACACTGATTTATCTAAGAGAAATGTCAGATTATGAAAAAACAACTCTAAAATAAAAAAAACCCACAATGAACATATATATAAAATTACCTCAAAGAAATACAAAATACCATAAGCAAAGCAATTACAGAGACTCAAAATTATTTTAAAGCCATATGAAGTAACTTCCTAAAGAATTAGACAACAAAAAGACACAAAATAGTCATTAAGAGGCCCAAAGCAACAACAAAGTGACTAAAACCAGTGACAAAGAGTGTATTAAGAGTGTGATCTTTACACGTGTGAGGCTGCTGGGAGAGGTCTGGAAGTCTTACCTGAACACTGGTGAGATGAAGGTACATGACACAGGCCACGTGGAAACACACACACAGCACCAACAGCAGCAGCACCAGCATCCCCCTGAGAGACAAAGAGACAAGAGAGTGAGCAGGGCTTTCCCAGTTTTCACTAAATGCCGTGAAAAACAGCTCCTTTTCTAACTGGCCCACCAACTTTTTTGCGTAATATGATTGGACATTTTGTGCGTGAATGTGTGTGTCTACATACTGTGGGATCATTAGTAGGTAGATAAGGCCGAACAGGGCAGCAAGGATCAGAGAAAGAACCACAGCACTGATGAACTGGTCATCATATACCTGATGATACTAAGAAAAGAGGAAACAAGAGTTAAAATGTAAATAGAAGAAGAAGCACAAAGAATCCATCCATCCATTGCAAAAACAGTGTAGGTCCATTCAGAGCACTGTGTTGGAAATCCTTTATCATGGGGAATCCTGGCATTGCTTTTACATCATCCTAGAGATAAGTACATATGATTGTTTGAAGACAACTACATGGTCATTTCAGTTTTATTAGAAACTGACCAGCTACAAATATTAACATGGTATGATACTAATGAAGTTTAAAGGTGCTATTGTTGGTTTTTACATCTCGAAAGTATCATCCAAACACTCTGGTGCTGGTGCTATAAACTGTTTTAGTCCAACAATGATGTGCATCACCTGAACTTGAAAATCTATTCAAAGGAATTTATAGATTTCTTTGTAACTGTCTTTTTAATTACTGCATTTCTTTGTTTTTGTTTTTACTATAATTCTTAGATGTTTTGCCTTTGTGATTTTAAATGCTGGTTACTTTTCTCAATTCCAGCTGTAATTCCCATTGACTGTATATAAAAGATGGAGGATTCAACGTGACATTAGCAA